GGGGGGGGGGGGGAGGGGTGTGAAAAATGTAACTTGGAGTGTGCGAGGTTGAAAGTTACATTTAATAAGCCCCCCCCCCCATCGGGGGAGAATGCATTGTGCAGAGTCTTGTGATGTCATTTGCCTGCGATAGTAGCAGGAATGGATCAAGAGAGAGGTCGTATGATGTTGTATGAAGTAAGAGCTAGTCAAAGACAATCAAAGCGAGAAAATCAATGCAGTCAGAACACAGGGTGAAAAGGCATGTGTACATGTAACATCATGTTACAGATGCCAGCTGCGCAAGCACATTCCAGGTGATACTGCATGCTTCCAAGGCCTGGACACACCTAAGTTACAATTGCTTATGGGTCCACAGCACATCACAACAAAACACAACAAGTCCACCAAAGCACTCCAGTTGAAAAGGTATGTTTAAATGTAACATGTGACAGCTGCACATAGCACAGATTAGGTGAAAATGCATGTTTCCAAGACGTCCACATGTCTAAGTTACATTTCTTTCTTGCATTCTGGTCCAACACTGCTGACACTGTGGCACAGCAGGTCTAGAATTAAACGCACTCCTCCCACAACATCAAAACAGAAGAACTCCAACCAAAGCACACCCAGTGATAAAGGCATTTAAATGTAACATATGCCAGGTGCACACAGCACAGTCTGGGTGATAATGCAAGTTTCCCAGGCCTGCGCACACCAAAGTTACATTTCTTTCTGGCATTCTGCAGAGGAACCAGCTGATGAGAAGAGTTTTGCGTAGTCGAAGAGCGCAGTCGAAGAAGAAAAGAACCCATATGCCTCACTGAGTCTTGCGTAGTGTTACCTTGAACCATCCTAGACCTGAAAAAATGTAACTTACATTTTTTACATATTTAGTTACATTTTCCCTGGAATAATGTAACTTGCATAAGTTACATTTTTCATTAAAAGCCTAACAAATGTAAGTTACATTTTTCCAGGTATATGTAAAGGGCTGAATGTAAGTTACATTTTTTCAGGTCCCCCCCCCTGCTAAGGGGTAGGGATTTAATATCATAAATTTGATGAGTCCAGAACTTCTCCCAACGCTTGCAGCTCGCCCCAACCGTTTGGTCCATCCGCGAAGACTCGCCCCCCCCCGACCTCATGGCGTCGAGACCGAGTCGGTCGGGTCCCGGTGCAAAGCGGAAGCGCTTGGAAGGACTCTCGCATAACGACCTGCACGGTGGTAATCTGCTGGTGGACAGTCAGGGTCTGGTCTGGCTCATTGACTTTGCCACGGTGAAAGAGGATCAGTCGCCCGGTCGGAGTTGGGACATGAAGTGGTATATAAGAAGCGATGTGAGGTCGTGGGGGGCCTTCGGCCGGCGCTTGTGGAGATGGGTTGGACGAAAGTTCTGGATTGGGTGGCCGAAGCCGCTGGTTTGCTTGTGATGGACAGGGTAAAGGTATGTAAGGGTGGGTAAAGTGTCCTTTTGCCAGCGCTGGGAGATGTTTTTCACTTGCGGTGTGTGAGGCATGTGCTCATGGATTTGACCAAGTTCCTGTCAGCCTGCACTTTCATGTACTTGCAAGACAAGGTCAACGAGAAGCACGTGGCTCTGGCTCAAAAAGAGGATCTTCGACCATCCAAGTTGACAGATGTTTTGGTACATTTTTTTCTGCATACTGTACCTTACTTGTTGGACGGCCCGGCGATAGCAGTTGCCTTTCCTTGCCCACCTCTAGCTCGCCCAACACACGGCCTCGCAGCTTGTCCAGCGGCTTGTCCACCGACCGGTCTCGACCGGCGATAGCAGAGCCGGTCAGGTGAAGTCCCTAGTAGCGTCCCATCGCTCCTAGTAGTAAGGCCAGGAGCCCCTAGTAGCTTCTTGTTCCCAGTAGCGCTGCCAGGAGCCCCGTTCGTAGCGCCCGATCGCTCCTAGGTGAAGTCCTTGGCCAAGATGCTGAGCTGCACGCCGGACGCCACGACCGACTTGCCATTGGCCTTTCTGAGCGACGCCAGCGAGGACGTGGGGGGCGTAGGGGGCGTGAGGTAGGGGTTTCGGGCGGTAGGGGAGCGAAATGGGGTGTTCAGGGAAGAAGAGGTGGCAGAGGTGTGTTCCGCTCCGTGAAGTCTCCCAGAATTGGTTTGTAGAAGGGAAGATTTGTGGGAAACCAGGGTTTTCACACCCAAAACCATCGGTTTCGTGTAGATGCTCCCTTAAGGATCCTCTAGACTACTTGCCCAAGCTGTCCACTCAGCCACACGTTGGCTTTGGATAATAACCTTTGTTGTTGATCGAATTTCTGGATGGGCAGGTGGACGAGCTGTTTTCCAACTAGCCTACAGCCCCTCAAGTTGAGCCAATTTACATACCGATCATTGTTTCATCTTTTGCTTCCCCACGGGGTTATTCCTACGTCACATCGCTGAAGACGTACCAATAGTGCCGATTCGCTGTGATCCCATCCCGGTTGAGGATCCCATCGCCATTTTCTTCTTTCGCATCATCTCACGTTTGCGCTTCTGCATGTGCGTCTACGAGAGCGGGCCCGGCTCGCCGGAGAACGACGGGCCGCGGAGCTGCAATGGTGTGACGGGTCTTCGCCGGGCCAATCCTCGCCCTTGTTACTAGCTTCTTGCTACGTTCGTAGCAATGCCAGGAGCTACGTTCGTAGCGTCCTTGCTCCGTTCGTAGCGATGGTTTTTGGTACTACTAGCAAATCCTCTACCAGAGTGGGTAGTATCAACGAGATCTCTTGAACTAGTCTGCTGCGCTCGCCATCCTGCAAAAGACTGATGCCAGGCTGCCAGGCCATTGGTTGAGCAGTCACTGACGCAATACGGAGCCATTGAAGCCTCCTCCTAAATTGGGGACAGAGCCTGTTGTTTCTCTACGACGCGCTTTTCCTTTATACAGGGCACAAAAGAGGGCCTTCTGTGCGGCTTTTCTTGTTTCCAGCACTGAGGCTGCCCTTTGCCATCGCACTCTTCTCATGGTCGGCACGAATGCTGTCCTACTCCGAGCCTTCGTTGTATCAGAAGACGCGAGCCTTGTGACTTGGATGGGATCTGGTGACTGGTGGAATGGGTGGATGGGTCAGACATAGATGTTGAGCTCATGTGGAGTCCTAATTGTAGACTCTTGATTCACAACCCCCTCGACTGGCGATTCTGGTTTGATTGCTGTGATGCTACACCCTTGAACGACAAAAAACTTATTTGGTCGTGGGGTGATGACTAACAGGTGAGGTAAACTAAGTGATTGGAAGTTCAAGGATGGATGGGATGATGGTACAACAACTAAAGTAGACAGTTGACATCTCCATATTGGGGTTTCATGAATCAACAGTCTACATTGCTTAGTAGATCAGCCCTGTAGAGAGAGGAACATCCAAGTTGGCCGGTCTTTGGCACTGTATCCGAGCCTTTCCAACGGATTTTTCTCTGATCATCTCAACTGGGCCAGTCGTCGCAAGTCTCGGAGCCACATGGCCTGAACGCCTGGGCGATGCGTGCCATGACGTGGGGGGCGGGGACTCTCCGGGGTCGCATCGAGTCGCGGTTTCGTTCCAACCCTTGACACCGGAGTGATCGACTTGATGGACCGACTGGAACAGTCCACACGCACGGGCACGGGCCGTCGTTGTTCCTCCCGCCCGTTTCCCGAGGTACTGGTCCATTGCTGGGATGCAGCGTCTCCTGTGGTCCATCGGTCACGACGTGGGCCCCACGGCCACGAAATGGATCGAGGACGTCCGACGAAGCCGCCGAAGCGGTCGAGAGTCGAAGAGGACGCCTTCTTTTCCACGGTGGAAGAGACGAAGTAGAGACGAAGACCTCTGAAATCAGAGGCCTCCAGTGTTTTACTTTTTTTTTTACAGGGGGCTACAGCTTACCCTGGTTTTTCTGGCTCCTAAATTGATCCAACATCCAGACCGGAGCTTGGTGCATATGACTGGTGCATATGACTGGTAAGCATCACTACTCTTGGCACATGCCCAAGGGATGATCTTTTTCGACGATTCAACAGTATGACTCTCGCAATACCCATGTCTTTATCCAACTCCGGTTTTTTCTGTGTTTTTCCTGTGACACAGAGGGCCGAGCATTTCCGAAATCACTCAATGCAGTGCCCGCGGTTTTTTTGGGAAGCAATACCCTTCTGACGCCTTTTGAAGCGCAGGAGAATCGCTCCCTCTGGGAGGGCCAAAAGGGGAGGCGATTGAGTAGCTCGGTCGCCACGGACAAGCAAGCGGTCGCCGCCTACCAGTCCGGGATCCCCAGCTATAGGGCTTCTTCTCAGGTCGAGGGACCATCGGACCATCGGAGCAGAGTCAGACCTCGCACCTGTTCAGACATTTTCTAGGAGGATTTGGCTGTTCAAAGCGAGTCCTTAGCGTCCTTAGGGTTAGCGGCTGAATGGGTGTTTGCTGGCTTTCGAGCAGAGTGTCAGCAGCTGAGGTTTGAGCTTGAGCTCCCGACGTACCTTTCTCAAGCCGGAGCATCAGAGGCCGGTGGGCGAGGGCAGACCAGGCATCATTTTTCTTGAGCTTGTTTAAGGCTTTGACTCGATTTGGGTGTTGATGGCTTTTATATAGTCTGTTTTTCTATGTTTTTCTTTTGAATATCTCTCACCTATGCAGGTGATATTCTGCAGTCCGTCCCCAAACCAAATGAGTGGGGGCGTTGGCCGACGGGATCCCGACCCCGACATTTGGCCGTCGGCTGGGTCTCCGGGTCTCACCGAGCCGAGACGAGACGAGCCTCGGTCTTCACCGGTTTCCACAGGCGTGGTCTTCAGACATTTTGACCCGCGAGAAGGTGAATGTGAGTGAATCCTGCGTGCCGTGCCATGGCTGGAAGTTGGGATCGGTTCTTTGGATTCCAACGGAAGCACCCCCTTTTGAACAGCAGGGTGTCTCCATCGGTGACATTGCGTGGAGAGTTTGCTGGCTCTGAGGTTGACAAGCAAGTTTGATGGACGGCTGAACACGCGATCTCACAGTCTGTCTGCGAAGGCCTGGATTTCGTGACTTGGGCGGGGACCGAAGCCCTCCCTCCCTGGCTTTCGCTCTCGCTCTGTCGCTGAAGGGGATGCGCTTCCCAGGCGGAGCAGCTGCTGAACAGCTTCAAGCCGGTCTTCAAGGCCCGCTGCTTCGACCTCTAGCGTTGCTCTTCGCGGGCTCTGAAGGGCATTGGATGCCGCGGCGGTTCCCCGTGCGGGGAACAACAAACGAATTATGCAGGGTCCTGACAGTGTGAAGCAAGTCCTAAGTAAAGCCAGTAAAGCTGCATGTCTAGGGAGATGCAGCACATTTTCGTTTGTTCTTTAAACCTTGGACCGTCCAACCAGTCGCAGAACACGGGTGCCTTCAGGCCTTTGCTCCCGCCCTGCTTGAGCAAGACCTTTTCAGTGGGCGACTCCTCATTGTTGGAGATGCAGGCGCTCACAAGCTCCCGCCTTTGTTGCAACTTTCTTCATACCCTTGTTACTAGTAGCTTCTTGCTACTAATAGCAATAGCATCTAATAGCGATGGCCTCCACCCTAGTAGCGATGGCCTCCAATCTAGTAGCATCTAGCTCCCTGGTGACCGTCCTCCTCCATCTTCCGTCGGAGGCTCTGGGAAGTCGGTGCTCACGAAGCAGATCTTCGCCACGCTGGCACAGGACCAGGCTCGTGGGACCGGACGAGAAGCGGCGTCGAAAGGACTTGGTGGACTCAGGTGGACGAAGCGATGGATCTCCCAACAGTGACGAATTTCTGCCTTGCCTTTTTCATCTAATTAATATAAAGATCAGTCCAGTTCGGCAGACAGTTGGCATAGTTGGAAGATCCAGATATAGGAAGAGAATCGATGAACATATCGAGTCAATGGCAACGGAGGAGCTTCCTCAGCTGCACCAGCGGTACGCCAAACGGACTGTGGTAGCAAAGGAAGCGGCTGGGTGCATGTGTCCCTCTAGTAGCTGTGGAGGCGAGCGACCAATGCTCTTGCCCTCTTTTCAAGCACTTGAGAGAACATTGAGGAATGGTTCAATTGGGCCTAATCTGTGACCATTCGACTTGAGAAATTCATTTGCTTTAGATGGTGCACCAAAACTTCTGTGAGGAGTCTGCTTTTTGGGATCCTCCTCGCGCCTCTTTGTTCACCCGCCTCCGATCACCAACCCCGGGGGAGACCGGGGACCCTGCGCGCAGCAACTCGTCTGCGCAGGTGAAGGCGTGTCAAGCCCTGCACGACCTTCCGAAGGTCAAGGAGCGACCGGTCGGGAATGGGAACCCCCGTAGCTCTGTTCCACAGCTTCTCACGTCGCTACCACCACGTGGAGCGGAACGGACCAGATGTGGAGGGACATGTTCATGAAACAACAGCGATTCGGCGAGTGAGTAGCGGACTTCAAAACGTCTCCAAAACATCCCGAAACCAAGACCCATGAAGATTGGACTGCTTGAGGCTTGAGGAGTCTTTCACTGCTTTGAGCCAAGCTCAAGGCGTGAGTGAAGGTTGGCCTCCGTTGTCGCATCACCTTTGTTTCTTACACACTCTTGTGGCCCTTGTGGTTGGTGTTTTTGGGGGCTCGTCCGGGTCTTTGACAACGCTTCCGTTTTTGGACGCCCGGTCTACTCTGTGTTTTGGGGCCTCCGTGCCAGACCCTGGGCTTCTTTCGCCACTGCGGTCGCAGTGGCTCCCTCTGTTGACAGGACGACGACGGCCGGGACATGATGCCGAAGTTGAATGTGGCTTTTCTTCCGGTGCGTGTGCCCTTGGTGGATTTGAGCCGGCAATTGGAAGAGACGCCGGAGGATGAGATCAGCTTGGAAGCAGATGTGATCAGCGATTTGCTCAACACTTTTGTTGCCAAGAAGTATGGCCAGGCACGTGCATCCGGGTACTGCTGGGGTACCGATCGATAGACTTGTGCAGGAGATATAGTACATGAATGGTGCCGGTGGCCTCATAGCTACGCAAAAGGTTCGCAACCAATTCTTTGTGTGTTTAACGGTCCACACTGTGGCCCTAGCTCATCCGCTGTTCCAAGGGTGTCCGCCTAGTGCACCGAGGATTGAGCCGTAATTTTTTGATGCGAGCCACTAGATTCAGACCAATTTGTCGGAGCCATCGTTTAAAAGCTTAATTAGAACCAATGATCTTCCTGTCTCTTCGGTCAGTATTTCTGTATTTGATCTTCCTGACGACCTTCGCCTCATCCTTTGCGTTCGAAAGCCTTCATCGAACTGCACCGTGACATCACCATGCTTCTTCTCGATGTCAATCAAACTCGAATCTTCTCATGTCGCCATTGCCATCGCCAGGATTCCAACCTCCTGATGCTCGTACAGGACATGCGCAACGCTGCAATGCCGGACTTCGAGGATGAAGAGGTGGCTTTCGGACTCGTCTTGTTGCTGGATGGCTTGGATGAAGCTTCTTCCAGGTGCCACAACACGCAGGGCCACGCTGGTGAGGTGGAAGGTCTGGAGCAAGGGCCCGGTGTTTTAAAAGAGAAGGATGGTTTGGTTGGAGGTCGCATGCAAGTGCTGGAGAAGTGGCAAGAACCACCCAGAGGATTTCAATGGATTTGTTCGATCATTTTTGATGTTTTTTTGGTTTCTTTTTGTTGAGCAAATCCGTCGGTCCAGAGGATCTCAATGGCCGTTGCTCTTTTTGGGGGGACTCTGGTGACCACCCGTGGCGTTTTTCACCGTTCACCGGCGTTTTGTTGCTCCAAAGCTCCGGTTGAGGGATGGTTTTTGTCTCTGGGTGAAGTTGATGGGAGCTTGGCAGGTCATGACCCAGAAGTTGGCAGGGGGTGGGATTGTATGTTTTTGAATCTAGAGAGAGAGAGAGAGAGAGAGACAGATTTGAAGGCGCTTGATGGTCTTGGATTACATCAAGTCCTTGTTGGCGCATGAGCAGAACCACTTCCCGATCCTTACTTCCAGACCAGGCTGGCATGTGGGAGCCAGGAGAGATTGAGCAAAGAAAACATATATTAAATAAATGAATGAATAGATAAATATATACATATTACGTATCAAGGCCCCCAAATAGATAGAAAAGCAACACCCTTTTCAAAATACATTGGATACCGCTTCTATCTATCTGGGGACCGCCATATTGCATTGAGTGATGTCGGAGCAAACCCTTTCGCGTAGCAACGATACTATGTCGAAGTGCTCGCAAAGTTCTCGGCTCAAAGCAACCGCTTTACCCCCCTGGCAGCCCCATGTGGCTGTCAGGGCGAGCCGATATAGGGAGAAGTGGTGCCGGCATAAGTTTGATCCGGGCCACATTGTGGAAGGGGCGATCAGAGATGATGATGATCGCGCCCATGGGGCAACGATCCTGGAAGTGTTGACACCATCAGCACCGATGAGAAGGGCCATTGGTTTCGTGGCAAATATGTCATTGCCAGTGACCCGCACATGCGGTGGTGGATGCGCGAAGGTGAAGGCAGCGCACTAGCAGCGAGATGTGCTTGCCTGCGAAGGCTTTTTCATTGACTGCCAGGCATCGACCTTGAGAGGTTCCGCCGATTGACTCAGAAGGAGATCAACAGCAAAGTCCCCAGTTGGGCCTTCGAGAAGGGATGCGTAAAGGATTTCTCCAAGTACCTCAAGGCGTGGAAGAAGGAACCCGGCAAGGAAGATTGGCCGGTCACCAGGCTGTGAAACCACCTCTCCTCGAGGTGTAACAGGGTGCCAATGGACCGACAACCTTCCCACTAGAGGTTGTCCTGCCTCGAGCAGGCTCACTCTCCATCCTAGCACACTGGCGGAGCCGCAGCAATTCAAGCCTCCAGGCCCGAATGCAGGACCTTTGCAAGGCCGTGAAATGCACTTGAGCAAGTTGCGATGTACCTTCTTCAATGTATTGTTTGGCCGTGTTGTTGCAGGCCCACCGTGCACGGGCTACCGTGGCATCCATGCTCAGTGAGGTCTGGAAGTACCAGGCTGCGCCTCTTAAGCTGTATGGAGTGTAGTCGTCAGATTTATATAAAATACCAACCGCTCGAACGGCGCCAGAGAAGTTGGCACGCTCCACGATGGAGGTAACATAGGCAACCAGTGAGGAGTCAAGGACGGTCCATGGGCGCAGGCCTGCGACTGGCCTTGCCCACAAAGTTCTATCGACTGATGGCCCAGAGCGGAAACACGAAACAATCTGGAGGCTTGCGGGTGGTGGTCCGCCAGTTCCACCTCATGGCCCTTGGAAAGTTGCTTGCCCAGCAGGCCCTCGCAATATACGCTGCTTCACCAGCAGCGCAAGACTCCACATCCAGGAGCGCCGTGGATTCTCCACTGACCAGCAGCATTTGGTCCCTCTCCTATCCTCTTTGCCTCTCTTCATGGCCTTCAACACATGCCCGGCATCCCGGACTGTTGCGGCTCTGCTGAACAACTTGCATTCTGGATTGAACACGCTTGAGAATCCTTGAACACACCTTTTGGTTGACCATCACCATCAAGGGTCCTCTCAAATGCTGCCCTCACCCCTTGTTCCGCTCGTGATCATTGGCCCTGACCTTTGAGTGGTGAGGCTTTTCTTGCCTTCCACGGAGCGGCTTCAAGCAGGTGTCTGACAGGGATGAGCTTCTTGAACCAAGTGGTTTGGCTTCACTGCGTCCTGCGCCGCTGCTTGTCCTACCTTTGGCCATGCCGCTATGACCTTGTCCACCGCGATGTTCTCCATCTGGACCGGTCAAACCTCGTGGCTGCTAAACGAGGGGCAGCCCCCCTCAAAGCATTCACATCAAAGCTCCAACGCTTCCAGGTAGCAAAGGGCCGGCGCAGGTGCTCCAACGTCAGCTTTTGTGCCACGACTCAGCTTTGCACGGGGGTCTAGCTGCGCTGCACCATCCTGGAGCCAGGAAGCGACCCGCTCACGCTGCTAACCTGATAGGCAGAGAGTGAAAGCCTGGACTCTGGGACACCTGCGTCAACTCATGGCTTCGAGGTGAAGACCTCTATAGAGCGAGGTGCGGGGCGACAATCTATTGCCAATCAGCCCTAACATCGCTCAGGGTGTAGCCTGCATGGTGAACGCTCTCAACTTCCTGTCTCGGGCACACCGCCATGGAGGCTGGGCGAGCTTGCGTGGAGAGGCAGCCCGCTTGGAAGAGGCTGGCAAGAAAGAAAAAGATGCCCGCAACAAGAGAAGGAGGAGAAGAAGAAGAAGCGCAAACATTCACCCTCCTCAGGAGGTGAGAAGGTCAAGAAGGCCGCAAAGGAGAAGGGTTCCAAAGACAACAAACCCAAGCTGCCAAAGGACAAGAAGAAGAGAGTTGAAGAATCCTCCAGCTCGTCAGATAAAGACGAAGTGGAATGGGTCTTTGGGGAAGAAGGATCTGCTGGCGATGCAAAGAAGAGTGACTCGGAGACAAATTTTCGCGAAACCCTCAGGGCCGAAAGCTTCAAACCAGTTTCAGTACGCAAAGAAGACACCGGGCCGCCTCGGCTGCTCCTCACTCCCTTCTATTCCCGGCCAACCCAGCGTAAGTCTTCAGCCGGGTGTGCCGTGTGAGGCTCAACAACTGACTCAACAAGCAGTCTCACCGTAGCAACCGCGAGGCACTCCAGGTAGAAGCTGCGAGCTTGGAGGTAGACATTGCGTTGAGTGATGTCGGAGCAAAACATTTTGCGTAGCAACGATACTCTCTCGCAAAGTTCTCGGCTCCCCTCCACCGCCCCTTCACCGCCGTGTCTGGTGAGCTTGACCTTGGCAGTGGCTCAGGGAGAATGAGACAGCCTGCTCCAGGCAGGACAACCTAGTGGGAAGGTTGCCCTTACACCTCGTGAAGGAGCAGAGGCAGCTTCACAGCCTAGCGAGCGGCCAATGTGCCGTGTGAGGCTCAACCATAACAACCGCGAGGCACTCCAGATAAAAGCTGCGAGCTTGGAGGTAGACGTATTACTATATACGTAGCAGATGTGGGCCATCGCATTTTCCAGAGAATGTGCGTGCCAGAATACCATCAGAGTGATGGTGTTCTTTTCAGCGCGGTCGGTATTAGCAGCTCAAGGTTGGTTGTGGTTCCTGAAGCGCTGCAAAAGTCCTGCAGAAGGATCAATCTGATTGTGCGCGGTCTCGTGGAAACAAGCTGTTCCCAAAGAGGATTTTTTTGTGATTTTTTTGGAACGTATGCCTAGGGCCTAGGGGCAAGTGCCAGCTTGGCAGATTTTCCTTTGCTTGATTCTGATCCGACTGCTAGTGGGCAGATCTGGCAAGGTACGCACCGTGGTGGGCAAACCAAGACATGTGCAGTGATTGGGGCTCCCGAATCAGCATAGTTGGCATAGATTCTGAACAAAAGACGCGTGCGCCTGTGTTCTTTCTAGACTACGTAACATGTCCCCTGTTATAAATGTATTTTCATGCCCACCACTCTTTGAAACTTCCGGATCTTGGTGGCTGTGCATGCCCTATTCCCCTCAGGTGTCCTGGCGTCCGTGGAGAACGAACGCTTGGGGTCTGAAGGCTATATCTCGGTATCCTTAACGCGCCTGGCCACGGAGGATGCGTTGACTTTGGCCAGCAGGAGAGGTAGTTGTGTTCGGCGCGTTGCGCGTTGAGCTGCAACTTTGTCACTTTGTTGGGGTGGTGGAACTGCCCGACGTGATGTTCCGAGTGGCTCGTATCTTTTTTTTAGTTCAGGATGTTGTTGACAAATGGACGTTTGTCAAATTGATTTTGGCTATACGGGTCTGTGTGGATAGTGATCGTCGGTCTGTTAGGCCATGTGGAATGAAGATCGATACGACCCAACTGGTTTGGTTTTCGCTTTAGGGGCACCCCATAAAACATTTGACCGACCACGAACTTAGGTTCAACTGCAACTCCCATTAATGAACGACGCTAAGACCTGTTTTTTTGAGAACCAGTTGGAGCTTGAGGCAGCTTTAGTGTGATTAGAGTCCAATGCTCACAAAGCTGAGACAACATGAGTACAGTAATCAGAGCTTCAACACTTCATCATTTGGAACCGCTGGAAAACACACCCACGGCAACAGAGTCACAATGAATCATAATGATAATAGAGTCATTCCACTGGCTTTGACAAACTTGTAGACAACACTGCAGGATATGTTTTGCTGTGCTGATTGCCATCACCCACACATGGCATCGGAATTCTGACCTTTTTGCCGCCTGAACATGGTTAGGTGTATGAGTTCGATGAAGACAACCGCGACCAAATATGCGCTGCGCCGAACATGCCATAGAAATAAGCTTCCATTTTTTCACGCCGGTGGCGATGTGCGAACTTCCCCGCGCAGGACGCTGGAGCGCCTGGGCGAGAGCAAGGACTTTCAGAAGAAGATTTGCAACATCCTTGGGAACCCAGGATATGCCTCCCTCACAGGCAGCTTCTGAAACTTTACAAAAAAAGTATATAGCAGTACGAACGTAGCAACGGGTGGAGCCACTTCGCCGCTTCGCCACTCGGTTTGGGGGTGGGCCCTGCGGCACACGTCAGGGCCGTTGTTGGAGGAAGCTGCGGCCTCCCGCGCCACGGTTTGTGCCATGATTTGTGGCGCCTGCGAAGGATATGTTGTTGGAGGTGTTCTGCTAATTCCTATTCAGAAACTTCAGCAGGAGCCCCCAACTTGGACTGGGCGTATTCGAGGGGTTGAAGAATTGTCTGAATCTACTGCAGCACTTGATGTTTCTCTCCCACCATCAACAAAACATCGTGAATCGAGGAGGCTCGGATGGAATTCTTGGTCCTTTGTCGCTGTCGTTCTGGTGTCTTTGCCAGTGGATTCTGCTGATGTTGTCCGAGCGCAGCAAACCCGGAGGCAATCCGCTTTGCTTGAACTTGCTGACACATGTCCTTCGGAAGGCGCAAAAGGATGCCCGGCTGGAGGGTTGGGGGATTCCAATCTTCTTGCATGGGCAAAGAACCCTGTGACACTATTGAAATATAGAAGCATAGATTTGATATGCCCCCTATTTGATTGCATTCATTGTCAGAATCTATTCAAATGAATGCCCCCGGTGGCCGGATCCCAACGAGTACGGCGGGCCCCCGCAATCTTCGACCGAGGATCCGGGCGTCGCGTCAAGCTCCAGCACGACCCTGCTGACGAAGAGCGAGATTTATCAAAAAGCATTCAAGCTGATGTTGCATCAATCCGATGCTGCGAAGCTTGGAGATGCAAGTAGGTCAAAGACGGACTGAGTGCCATGTTTGCTTCGGTGCGTGCCATGTGTAGCTTTGCTTCAGCCATCCACCAAGAAGTTCCTGCCATGCCTTTCCTTCAGCCTTCCAGGAAGTTTATGTCTCGCGATGGTCAAAGCGACACGGAGATGATCAAGCACCTTGAGGCGACGCGGCATAGCCGTCGCGACACGGGCAGCATACCAACTGAAGTGGACGCATTCGGAGCTGAGCATGTGCCCGTCTGACCAGCGCACGTGAGATAGCACGTGAGAGTTCTGTGCGCGAGCACTAGCATCGCCAAAGATGGGACAAACATTTGAGTAGTAAGGCCAGGAGCCCCAAGTAGCTTCTTGTTCACAATAGTAAGGCCAGGAGCCCCGAACGTAGATCGCCGTTCGTAGCGATGCCCTTTGCTCCTAGTAGCATCCTTTGCAGGGACTTTCTGGGAACTGGTCCTCGTGTCGGACCACTCCTTTGGGTAGTCTTTAAACGTTTGCCCAACTTCTGAAGTTCTGACCTTTGGGAATTCATTCTTGACGTTCTCTTGAGTTCTTTTTTGGGACCCGTAAAAGGTTCGTTTGCCCCAAATGTCAACCTTTGACAAGTCCGAAGGTTTGTTCGGACTCCGTAGCTTCGCAGCAAAGAATCCCAAAATTCCCGCCGACGATGCTGGCCGAACCGGTCAGGCCTTAAAGAGTTCCGCTGCCCGAAAACTTTATCAGCAAATCAGCTGGCAGGCTGGAGACGGGACGAGTGCTGGTTCGTTGTGTGGGGTGGAGAGATGGGTGAGACGGTTTGGCGAGGGAAGACACGGTGCTTCCTATTTCTGCTACGAGGGACTTTTTTTGGGGAAACAGGTAATATACCGGTATAAAGGGCCCGGTGCCCTAGTCTCTTGCTGTAGAAACGGTACAGTTGCGGTGAAGATGAAGTTATGAAGAACCAGGTTTTCATCCCAAAAGCACTTACTAACTTCTTGATGGCAAATTTTCTCCTGTAGTGACATACTACACCTTCTGGGTTTGTCCTGGAGCATCACGGGAGAACATTGGACAGAAAGAACGCAAGCGCGTTAATGAATGGAACTTCGAGACTGAGCGATGTTCTCTCCAACCTATCAAACTCTTGCAGCCAATTGGACGAAGGCAGACCGGACGAAGCGGACCGTTGGCCAGGGCCAGTGTTCCCGCAAGCGCGTCTTCACACTGGAAGAGTGTGCCAAGATCGGTTCCGACGAGGCCAAGTCGAGTGTGGTTGACGTCAAGAATTGGTCCATGGGATAGAGGGAGGTTATATATTCAGCCATATGACATATGGCGAAATCGCCCCAAGCACAGATAAATGTTCTTTTGGCTCCCACAGGCAGGCGAATGCAGTGCCTCAAAGCTCCTAGACTCATTTGTGGGGCTTAGCAAATCGTTTGATCGAAGACTCTCCAGACCGTGCTTCAAGACCCCACTCTTGGCCTCGCGGCCGCTGTCGACGTCCGTCGCCAGAAGCTGATGGCCTCCTTCTCTCACTGCCTCAAAGAGAGCCGATTGCCGGTCTTTCAGCAGGTCGATTCGGGCCACTGGGCGATGAGCGATGGACGGGGAGGGGAGGTGTGGGGCCGAACTCGATCTCGCAGGGCAGTCGGGCATGGTTGACGGGGAGGGCTGGGAATGAATAGGATATCCGAAATTGACTAGAGTGACATTGTATTACTTGGAATTCTGAGGCATGGTTCAATCCACCAGAGAGTTCAACATCGCTTCGATGTTCTATCTAGTTCCATTTTGCGGGTTTCGACTCTGCTTTGAGCCCATGCGGCGTGAACACATCACCGTCGAACCGTCCGTGAGTCTGTGAACGCGCGTGCGCGCGTTTCTTTTTCTGCGCTGAGGTAAGGGACCTCAGCAATATCAGCTGTCCCACTTGTCCTTCCAAGAGGTCTTGGCGGCCGAATTTGTGGCTGGCGTGATGCGCTATTCCAGCACTGCAAACCAAGTCAGGCGGGGGGCGACCACGCCGTTAGTTCCAGGCGGGTTTAACCTCGACGTGGGGGGAGCAAGACCTTTGGGCCTGGTGCGGGAGGAGTTTTCTGAGCCAGCCAGGCGTTTGGAAGCGTGTACTCCTTTGTAGTATTCCCGTATGCAAAGCAAAGCAAGAAAAAAGCTGCAGAAGTCTTGCTTCTTGATTCAAAGAAGCAATTCAAGCCAGGCCGGCAGGGGGACTGAGCAGTGACCCTCAACCTTCTCTTTACAAAATAGAAAGAACTGTCCAGCTGCCTTACTCGAAAGCGTTATATAATTTGGAAACTTCTATTGCGCACAACTCACATGTGCTCTTCTAGCCCGCGCACGGGGAAAGCCTGCCGGTCCCTGAACGATGGATTGGAACCCCAAAAATGGTTACCGGAGGCTTGACAGGGTTGCTCCCTGATGGTCTGTGACAGATGACTGGACCATAGCAGATCAACCAGGTTTCTGTGACAGATCGCCGACCCAGGTTTCTATCCCAAGACATACAAGGGTCTGGTTGGTCACAGGGCTTCCACCAGATGATATACCTTGCTCTCCGTCTAATCTTGCTTATCCATCCGCCCCAACGACCCAAACCACCGAAAAAGAACCAGGGACGCCCCATGTTCTACCCCCCTGGGTTGGGATGCTTCCACCGTAGGGAAGCACGGTGAGTTGGACTACTTGTTTCAGGCCCTACTTGAGCTTCTTGACCTCCGATACGCTGCAAGCCCTGGGCCGCGAGCGCCTGGCCGAGCCCTGGTGGCTGGCCACCTGGATTGCTGTGGGGGACTTGCTGGAAGAGGAACCGCGACCGTCCGGTCCGGGGGAAACGTCGAGACCGAGTCGCGTTCGATGTGGCAAAAGGTCGAACTCTCGGGTCCGGGAGTCCACCTTTGGAGGGTTTTAACATATGCCTTTGGCCTTTGGCTTGGTTTTGGGTTGCATCTAGATTTAGGGGGGGGCAGGAGGCGAAGGGGGTTTGGAAGGGAAACTCCACTGCTCACAAATCCACTTCTCATTCAACTGTGCAAGTTCCACCTCCCAAGTTCCCGCCGGAACAGTGCACGACCACCGCCATGAAGCGATAGACCACGACCAGCACAGTCCATCAAGCACTGTCTATGCAGAGGTCTACCATCTACACCCCTGCTTTTTCCAGTTGTAAACCCGGATGGTTGGAGCTTCCAATCCCCTGGTGAGGGTTTGCCCTTCCCTGGGCCCCAGTACTACTTTCAGAACCCACTCCATGACTGTACGTGCCTTCGACCTGGAACTCCTTTTTTGAGGGAGAAGGGATTACCTGATTATATACCTATCGCCTCATTCTTGGTGTTGCTTCTAGCTGTCACAGATAGCTGTCACAGTGCTTTCCTCCCCAGAAGGCTGTGTGCTGCACGTGTTCGGCCGATCAGGAGGATTTCAGCAAGTGGTGCAGCGTCCTGGCTGAAGATGAACGCTGCAAGTTGAAGCCGGGGGCATTGTGCTTTCAGACGCCTGGCCATCGCTTGCAGACGACATGTCTTGAAATCTTTTTCGTTCCATCCTTTTGATGTCCCACCTACGTAGCGTTGTGAAAAGACCGAAGTGGTCGCCCAACGCATCCAAGGAAGGGCTGTGAACTTGCCAAAGTGAAGTTGGTCCACTTGACGTTGCCTCGGCACTTGAGTGCTGAAGAGGTGGAACTGCGTCGATTGGGCACCTTCTTCGAAGTGGTTTGGGTCGATTTGGAAGCCTGCAAAGTTCAGCTTAAACCGCATTGCGCCTCTGACCAAAGTGTGATTTCTCTTTTCCCACAGAGTGCTTGGTTTTCTTTGGCCATTTTATGGTGCCGTGACGCGATGGATAAAGTCGAGTTCCGCAACTGCGCAGGATTCCGCAACTAGGATTCCGCAACTGTTTGGTCGGATTCCGCAACTGGGATTCCGCAACTCGGATTCCGAAACTAGGATTCCGCAACTGGGATTCCGCAACTGGGATTCCGCAACTACGATTCCGCAACTAGGATTCCGAAACTAGGATTCCGCAACTGTCAGGATTCGGCAACTAGGCTTCCGCAACTAGGATTCTGCAACTGGGATTCCGCAACTGGCGTTCCGCAACTAGGATTCCGCAACATTGTGGATTCCCTCACTAGGATTCCGCAACTTTGTGATGAGGGGGTTGGCGTGATGTCAAGATCACACGATGGGGACAAGGGGGAATGGGGGGTGGGGGGGGTTGGGTGGGGGTCTAATGACGTTGGTTTGGATGTGCTTCAAAGGTGATGTCACAGGCACACACGCTATTGCATGATGTGGAGATTTCCAGTTGCAAGTTTCAGAAGGCAAGTTGCAGAATCTGACTTCCAGGTTCAGAATATTTCAGAATACCAGTTGCAGAATCTGACTTCCAGTTTCAGAATACAAGTTTCAGAATCCCAGTTTCAGAATCCTAGTTTCAGAACCCCAGTTTCAGAATCCTAGTTTCAGAACCCCAGTTTCAGAATACTAGTTTCAGAAGCCAAGTTTCAGAACCCTAGTTTCAGAACCCCAGTTTCAGAACCCTAGTTTCAGAATCCGACCGATTAGTTTCCGAATCCGGTTCTAACCGTGACGCGATTTGATCGAACTTTTGTTGAAGTCTGAGGCCACAACTGGATGGAGGAAAAACTAATGAAGAAATTCTCAGTGGATAATGACGTTTTCTTTTCTGGAAAGCCGCTGGACTCGACCATCATCTCTTGGCGCGCTGACGGAGTGAACTGCTTGGCGGCCGAGGCGGAGTATGTTTTTGTTTTGGCCACGTCATCTTAGTTGATCAATGTTGATCAAGTTCTGGCAGTTGTAAAAGACCCCAATGCCGCTGCCACGATCCTGTGCTGTTCACAAGCCTTTTTGGATCCGAGCTTGACCCGGTGAGGCAGCACGGATCGGTTGTTGGTCCTTGGCACAAGGTCTTTCAGCACATGGGGTTCATGTGTGCGCTCGCAACAATCAGCAAAAGAGTCTTGGATGGATGAGAGAGAGAGAGGGAGTCAGAGAGTCTGTGTGTTGGGCAGATCTGCGCATTGCATGGTCTTCGTGTCAAGGTAAATGTCCCTTCACGTTTTCTAGGATCTCAAGGGACGGCTTATTTGTCCCGCTTGGGAACCTGTCGCTTCGACGTCCACGAGAAGTCCGGCCCAGTGCGTGTCCAGTCGTCTTCTTTGAGCGTTGCTGTCTTGTCCCCCAAAGTCCCACGGCCATGCTATGCGATTGCAATCCGATGTTGTTCTTTTTAAACACCATCGAACACCGCCTACCCAAACACCCCACACGACCGGCTTTTGCCCCCACAAGATCGGGCCGTGCGACCGGGTCCGCTGCAGACGAGTCGTTTTGTCCGGCGAGTTTTGTCGTTTGGTCCCGTCATACAGAACCGGCGCTTTTTCCTTGGGGGCTCCAGGGCAAGAAAGTGGGGTGAAGCCTGCTTTTCTTGGGAGTTTAATGTGGAGTCTATTTCTCTTGATAGCAAGAAACATGGAATTGTGAAGCCTGCACCTTTTGACCAGCGATGCGTCGATGACATCCGTGGAACTCCGGAGTTCCGAACGCCGAAACTGACCGCTTCGATAGTGAGGAACGTGTACACCAATGCCCTTCTGAACAGCGATTGGCAACTCTGTCGTTGGCTTGCGGCACGCCAGGCGCTCCTTAAAAAGCTCGCTTCGGTCCCGAACGGGGGGGTCCGAGGAGATTCGACGGCCCTTGGTGCGATGAGAACTACGGAGACCCCCAGTGGTGTGCCACCAATAGGTAAATGGTACCAAACTGAGCCCTCTATTCTTCTGAAAATGACATCACTGTCATCTCTCTCTCTCTCTCTTCTGGTGCGAATTGTCCAACTCGGCATGTTGATCTCAACTCGGCATGTTGATCCCATCTTCCCCTTTCCAAGTCTCCGCCAATCAAGGACATGATGAAGGACCCTTCTTTCGTGTGGCCTCGCGATAGGTGGCATATTGACCACTGCCTTTCCCAGCAAAAGCTCTAAGTGACCGGACGTTGCCTGACCCATGGACGTGGCATGTCACAAATGCTGGTTTGTTGGCTCAGACGCGCAATTCGCATGATTCAAAAGCTTTAGGTACTCACTTAGCTGGAAGGGCTGACTGCTGCCAAAACAGCAACGCACCGGCTTCGCCTTGGTTGTGGCTTTTCTGCCATCAACGACAGTTGATGGCCGGCTAGATTCTAGATCGTTCAGGAAAAGTTTTGTGCACTTGTATATAGAAGTCTTGCGCAAGAGCACTAAGAGTCAATGAGAAAGAAAGGGGTGCGTTCTTAATGGTGGAGGTTCCTAATTGCCGAGCTCAAACTAACCCTCCTCTCTCATGCATTTATGCATGCTAGGCTGGTAGGAAATCTATTGAAATACTAGCCGTGTGATAGCAGATTATGATGGTAACTTATACTGTGTTTCTGCTTCTCTTCATCAGAAATGACGGGCGAGGGTTCGGTGCAACACATCCCCCCACAGACCCCGAGACTTGAACGCTCCAGGTGCAACTCTTTCCGGGCATCACGGGGGGGGATGATGGAGACATTTGCATCCTGGGGCACAGCTGCTGGACTGCAAATGATGCCTCGGACCATGTCGGGAAGTGACAAAGAATTCTGGAATCAATCCGAATCAAGGTCCAGTTTCTTTTCGATAGAATCGAGAGTCTGGGCTTCCGCAGCTTTCAACACCTCTTTTTGTTCACCTTCACAACAATCCCGTGATCGACTCCGATCGCTTTCTCCGGTCGACCGTTCCTTGGCCAGGGGCCGTGGTCCCTGTGAAGGTCCACCGCAGGTCCCGACCGAAGTTGGAATCACTTGAGCCTCTTTTTCGTTCATTTTTGTGGTTAAGGATGGCACCATGAAGAGGCGCGGAACGTGCAGAGGCCCTTCCCCTCGTGCATGCAGTTGGCGGCGCTGAAGCTCAAGCTCACCGGAGTCCTCCGAGAAGCTTTTGAAGGCGTGGAAGGTAAGTACACTCCGCTCACGTTCCATGGACGTGGAACACCTTTCTGTTTGCAGAGCAAGATCTTCCAGCGGCCTATGCCATCCACTTCCATGTAAGTGGGTCAGAGTGTAGGAACAACCTCGCGCGGGGACAACGTCGCTGGGTGGCAACAAATGTGGGGTGTCTTTTGGGGGGTTGACGGTTGAAGGGAGCAATAAGTTGGGGCTGCTTGTCTGGGTGCGCAGCAAGAACTGCTTGGAAGGCCACGCAGGATGAGCTATGAGCTATGAGGATGATGGCATGATGGCATAATGATTCCTGGGAGGATAAGCCTTAGTGGCACGCAAACGGTTGCAAAGTGATCAGCCTTTTCTCCCCTTGGGGAGACGGAACAAGGGACACGCCGCCGTGGCCGCTTTGGGCCCGATCCTGTTTTCGTGGGCCGCGGTCGTCCCACGGATGGCGTCCTTTGCCCAATCGCCGCCCCAAACAAACCGGTTGCCTCCTTCCAGTTTCGACGGGTCAGGCACTTTGCAGTTTCGTGGAGATGAGCTGGATGTCAACTTCTCGGATATTAGGCCGGATACGATACGACCATCAGGGCTGGTTTGAGGGCTGTCCGGGTCAGGTGAGATGATTCATGACGATCGGGTCTGTTTGTGCAAGCATTACGCGTGCAGTCTCGCGGAAGGAGAGAGGCTTTTTCATTTCCTCCGGCCGGCAGATGGCTCCACACTTTTTGAAGGGCTCCAAGCATCCTCCTAGACCACTGACCCAGTACGACGGAGAGACCTCGACTTGGCCGTCGGCGTGGAGATGTCCGGCCGGTCCGACGGGCGCGATGCGACAGGAGTGGTGTGAGCCTCTTGATGCTTGCGGCCGCTGGGTCCCATCCAAAGCTGGTGGGGGAGCTGCTACAGAAGAGGGCTTGGGAAGCTCGGCTGGAAGAACCCGGAGGGTCTCAAAAGAGGTCGTTTCGCGACCCGGCTGGCGGCTCAAAAAGTAAGGGACAACGCATGTCGCTGAGACAGATGTCTTTCCATGTGTCAGGGGAGTGGGGGCACTCTCTTTTTGGGAGCTGTATCCAGCTTTCTTTTTTTTTTCAGGCCGGCATTTTGCTGAAGTGTCCAGCAGCCCTTCCTCAGTCGAACGCGCAGTTGTTCCAGTCCGAGCGGTCGTAGTGAGGCAGGGGACTAGGATTGGTATGTGTGAATGTGGCACTCAGTTGATCCTGTTTCCACTTGACCTTGCACCTTCAGGCACAAGGGTTTGTCTGCAGGAAAAGTCGGCGCGGTTGCACGCTTGGTGTTTTACATTGGTAGCGTTGAGCCATTGCTTCGCGCTGTGCGCTGGCGGTGGTCCGGGTACTTTTTGTTGGTGATTGAGTACACCCTCTTCGTGGTGGTGTTCCTGGGTGTGTTTTGGGGGGTGCCTTTGTTGGGGAGCAACCATGCCGACGCCTGACGGTGGGGAAACCGTTCAGGAAGCAGACCCTGATGTCAGTGGTCTTGGGGAAGGCATTTTGCCTGAGGACGACGACCACTCTCAAAGGACTTCAGAGCACTCGTGGGGTCGATGGAGTGCTGAGGAGTGGCACAGGTGGGTAGCAGCCTACTATGCATGGGGACGGCCGTCTACTCCTGCTGTACCTGCCGGAGGAGGAAGCGCAGTGCCAGGATGGTCAGCGGAACAGTCCGCTTCAGCCCCTACAGCCCCGATTGGGCCTCCGCCTCCTGATCCATGGTGGCAGCGCCAAGGTGATCCATGGGCAATGCAAGATGATCGACGAGGTGGAGGAGGTGGCCAAGATACAGGTCCCAGAGTATTCTGGGGAAGACGGCTGCGATGGGATGAAGGCCAAAGGCTACATCCGGAAGATTGACGATTGGCAAAGGGTGACCAGGTTGCCCAAGCCAAAGCAGGCCTTGGTGCTCTACAACAACCTCTCCGGGAGAGCCTGGAGGGATGCAGAAGAGTTGGAGCTCAGTGCATTAGACTCTGAGGTAGGGGCTGAGATCTTCATGGATTGGATCAAAGCCCGCTACATGGACCGTGAAATCACTAAGGTGGGCCGCTACATGTCTGACTTCTTCAACGTGCTCAAGCGCGGCTCCAACCAGGATGTACGGGACTTCAACCAGGAGTTTGGCCGACAGATCAGCAGGTTGAGAGAAGTTCCACCTGACGTTTGCCTTGCTTGGTGGTACGTGGCCACTGAGCTGAACCTCCTGTCTTCAGTGGGAAACGCCTACCTCCAGAAGCTGCAAGATGCTCCCATCATCCAGGATAGAATGAACAGGAGGTTGTGGGAAAGGAGACACGATGGTGACCGCAAGTCAGAGGACAGGATAAGAAACGGGGTCATCAGGCATTAAGGTGGCTGAGGACCAGGACATGGACGAGGAGAACTTCGACCTGGGCGACGAGGACTCTGACCCCGAGCTCTCGGACCTAGATGAGGAAGCGCGTGAGGCTTTTGTGGCCTTTAGGAACGCCAAGGGCAAATACAAGGCCGCCTTGAAGGAACGTGGATTGGCTCCAAGGAAGGTAGATTGAAACAAGCCAAGGCCCGTTCCTACTGTTCCGTTTGCCACAAGAAGGGACATTGGCACAAGGATCCAGAGTGTCCGGCCAACCAGAACAAGGGCTGCGCCACCGCTCACTCTACACATGTCGTGTATATGACCGCTACAACCTCGTGGACCTCGAGGGCACTGGTCTGGGGGCTATGGACTCCTTCGTGGACGGTGACATCGGCGACTTGGACTATGACGTCTTCCATGACCTCACGCTCAACGAGATCCTCACGGTCTTCTTCACGGACGATGAGACGGACAAGAAGCACCAGATTGACTTCATGGCCATCGCGGACTGTGCCTGCAGCCGCACTCTCGCTGGGAGGCGATGGACGGAGTCGTTCCTGAAGTACCAGAAGGAGCACCGGGTTCCATACTTCATCTTGAAGCAGAACGAGACCTTCAAGTTCGGTGGTGAGAAGCTCTACCCCTCGAAGGTGGCAGTGGTGACATGGCTGTCCATCAAGGACGCTTGGTTCCTGATCAAGAATCAGGATCAGCGTGGTCTCGGCAGAAGTGCCACTTTTGTTGAGCAGGCCTGCGCTTGCAGAGCTTGGCTTGCAGAGCTTGGTATGCAGTACGACATAGCCAAAGGCTTGGCCAATTTTGCGCGGCTGAACGTGCCGCATGTTTGTCTGATCAACCGTGCATCGGTAACGGTCTCACAATTCCCTTCAAGGTTCTCCAACAACATGTCCTTCAACTTGTGGTTTGAAGTCTTCCATGCTCTGGGATCAAAGGAGAACCTGCGGGTTGTCACATGGATGTGGTGGAGATAGTGCGGGGTCTCGATCCAAAAGTCCCGATAGTATTCCCTTTGATCAAGACAGGAAGGCTTCGTGGTGTAGAGGTTCATTCACAAGCATGTCATGTATGGAGTTTGTGATCTTCTTTGGGAACAACATTTCTTCATGACTGCTCGCCATGTCTCCTTGCACCTCCAATGTCCTTCCGCTGTCGCACTCTTTTGCTGGACGGATGAGCCTCCTTGCAGGTTCTAAATATCTATGGGTCGGTCGAAGCTGTTCTCAAGACTTCTGAAGTGCCTCTCGGCATTCCACCATCGGCCCGAGGTTCGGACCAGCCACTCCCCTTCGCCATGGAAGATGAACAAGGCCGAGTTGACCACGCGCTGGTGGAATTGGGGGTGCCAGTGGACGGAACCGGAACTCCGTTCGTTGCTGATGGAGCAGCGCCAGACAACCCCGGTCAATGCCCAGTTGAAGGGACTCTCAGGCATGAAGCTGGAGGAGCTCGTCACCAAGTGCAACGACCTCATGGGCCTGACCTTGCCTCCAAAGCCCGCGTGATCCGGGACGGAGTCCCAGCGACCCCGGACGAAGTGGTGTGCTTCGGACGCTACAAGGGGTACTGCTATGGAGAGGTGCCTGTCGACTACTTGGAGTGAGTAGTTCAGGAGTGCAAGGAGAACGAGAACCACAGCCCGGACCTGGCAAGACTCGCCAAGTGGGCGATCTTTCACATGAAGACCGGGAGCAGCAAGGACAAGTTCACGAAGGTGGGATACCGCGACCCAGAGAACAACGTGCCATGGCGACCTCCAGTTCAGAAGAAGACGCGAGCGACCACATCGGACAAGTTGCAGGAACAGCTAAGCAAACAAAAGCCCGCTACTGCTGGCAAGGACTGAATGCGAAGGTCACAACTAAACGGGCTAAGAGGGAGGTCAAGGAGGAGGAAACTATGAGCCCCTCAAGGATGAGATCTTCAACATCTTCAAGATGGTTGAGCTTGGTGGCACTGGTGGTGGAAGCAGCTCTATGACCTCGGACGGGACGAGGAGGAGATTGACGACTATAACACGGAAACGGTCCGCGTCCCCAAGATCAACCTCCTCTACCCGGACGCTACCAGAGGGTGAAGAGGCTTCCCAGTCACAAGACGCGGAGGATTGCACGCAAGAGGGCCAAGAATTGGGCCCAGCGGACCTTGGGGTGCCTTGTCACTCACTTGCGCTTTCGCAAGCGCCGTGTGGCGCCGTGTGGGACCAATCGGAGAGAGCGACTCGTCCCGTCCGGCCATGGGCCTCAGACCACGTCTTGGGACCTCCCCTTGCAGATGAGGAGGAAGAAGGAGTTGCCCTACTTTTCACTTTTCAGTGGAGCAGCTCAGATGACCCTAGAGTTCGTGAAGGGTGGTTTCAGCGTCCTTGAGCCCCGCGACATCTTGTGCGGACACGACCTGTCTTGTGACCAAGAACAACAGAGCGTGTGGCGCGATATAGACACCTTCAAGCCAGAGTTGATTTGGATTGCTTATTGCGGGCAAAGCAGAAGAAGATGATCCGCTTTCTGGTCCACGTTGCCGAGAAGCAGATCTTGGAAGGAAGGCGTGTCGCCTTCGAGCGCCCCAGCGGCTCAGCCCTGTGGGACCAACCTGACATCCGAGCGCTTCTCGATGATCCTTGCCTCATGGAGGTCTCCTTCAACATGTGCAGCTTTAACCTGAGAGCCAAGTCCGATGACGGCCCACTGAGAAAACCTACAACAGTGTGGACTACAGATGAGAACTATGTCAAGGTTCTTGACAGACCTTGCGCAGGAGATCATGACCGCACGCGGACAGAAGGACAGAATACCAAACCAGCGGGACAGTACGCAGCTGAATTTGGAAAGACTGTCATGGAGGGCCACAAGAAGACGCGCCTGGATAGAGAAAGGGCATGGGCCACCTATGTAGCAGAACGTGGGCGAGCCTGTCCTGCTCGGCAAGAACGACCTCTCCAAAGACCTTCTCAGGACCTGTCAATGGTGAAGATCGATGACTTTCATGGCTGGCATCACAGACCCGACCAGAAGCAGGAGTTTCTATGGCACAGAGAAAACAAAAGGACCCGACCTATGAGGACGTGAAGGCTACGAACCAGGTGGTCAGGATGGCCCAACAGGCCAAGGGAGAGAAGTTGGAGTACAAGAGGCTCGGGAACTTCAACGATTTGGTCTTGCTGGTCTATCGCGATGCTGCTTGGGCCAGTGTACCTAGGTGTTGGAGATGAAGACCATGAGAACTTCAAGAATGTGGGCGTCTACTCGCAGCTTGGCTTCATCATCCTGATTGCCCACAAGGACACCCTCAAAGGTCAACCTGGTGAAGGAATGGTGGTGAGCTGGAAATCGCACGCATGCCCCACATTATGTAGAAGCACCTTCGCCTGGCTGCTCTGAAGGCTGGCAAGGAGCGATCGCCTTCAGAGCTTTGCTGATGGGGTGCTTCAAGAAGGGCACACAGGAGAACCTCCCCATTGTCTCCTTGACAGACTGTAAAGTCTGTGCGACTCAGTTCACCGAGTCGGAGGGCCTCGAGCACCAGCGGAAAAGCGGCTAATTGTGGATCTAGCCGGGCCCCGCCAGATGATCAATGAAGAGCAGGCCAGTTGGCCGGGCATGCCTGGCTTCGATGGAGAAAAGGCTATGAGACGGCTGCCCACGACGCGTCAGCTGGCAGACAACCTCACGAAGATCATCGGCCGTAGCGCAGACTGGTGGAAGGCCTTAAAGGCTTTGAGCCCATCAGGATCAACTTAAAGAAAGGGAGTGTGAATGTGGCACTCAGTGCATCCTGTTTCCACTTGACTTTGCACCTTTAGGCGCAAGGGTTTGTCTGCAGGAAAAGTCGGCGCGGTCGCACGCTTGGTGTTTTACAGTGTGGATTAGGAAGGCCTTCAAGGAAGATTGGGTAGCCAAGAAATAGACCTCGCAAAAGAACATGTGCGACGCTGCCAAAGCCACGCGAGAGCCACGTCAGACACCGCGCGGCCCAAGAAACCACCAAAGGCCGCCGCTTCCAAAACGCCGCCCATCACACCACGCTGCTCTGCTCCCTACGCGCCCGTTCCACCCCCGTCTGCGAAAAGACGTGGATGTGGACCTCCGGTGTTCGCGCAGAGAACGGAGCAATGGTGTAATGTGTTGCACCATGGGTCACCTAGATGGACACCTTGCACAACAATTAAGCTGTAGACACTGTAGAATCTGTGCCTTTTCTATGGAGTTTCATGTGGTGGCCAAGAGTATCATTGAGTTCCGGATCGGATCAAATCCAGTATCTCAAGGTTCCCTTGTTTGCACGTGGCACATTTGTGAGTCGCACCCCAGCATGACCACGTCCGGATATTGACATATGCTAGCTAAATGAAACGTGATCGCGTTGAGGCTCTGTACACAGCAGAAGTCCGGGATCGCACCGCGGTCCATCTAAGGTGAACAGCCGCAGCTGTGAAGGTTGCACAGCCTTGAGCTTTGCGTTGGATTGCACCGGCAATGACGAGACAGCAAACAGATGTGTTCAGATTTTGCTGGAGGCCAAGGCAGATGTCGCTCGACAGGCACAAACGGTCATGGACATGTGTGACATCTCCATCGCAACTCTATAAACATGGAATCTCCGTTTTTGTTGACCGAAGATTCCAAATCAGACTAGATTCTAGTCACCAAGCCGTTAAGGCCAATCCAAAGCCACTTGGGTGGGTTCTCTTTCCGTTTTTGGACGGGGGGGGAGGACATAAAACCTGCGTCGTGGCCCGCGCGATGCGACGGCAAAACCGAGAAAACCCGAGAAAACTAGAAAACCGAGAAAACCGTTCTCGCGTTTTGCCGTGTGGAAGTTTTTTCCAGTTTTCTTACGTCTTCTTGCTTGTCTGATCTTTGAGCGTGAAAACGAGAAAAGCAAGAAAACGGTTTTCGCTGTTTTCTCGTTTTCGCCGCTTTCCCGTTTTCGCCGTTTCCGCCGCTTTCGTCGTTTTCGCCGTTTTCGTCGTTTTCGCTGTTTTCGTCGTTTTCGCCGTTTTCCCGTTTTCGTCGTTTTCGCCGTTTTCGCCACTTTCGTCGTTTTCGCCGTTTTCGCGTTTTTGCGGTTTTCGCCGTTTGCACGTTTTTGTCGTTTTCGCCGTTTTCGTGGTTTTCGCGCAGTCGTCGTTTTCGTGGTCTTCGCCACTTTCGAAGGTTTTCAACTCAAAAGAGGCCCAACAACAGGATGTGGCAGGAGGCGCCTATGTAGTGTCCAACCTTGGATGTCTCTTATATATATATATATGTAGCTACCCCCCAAAGATCTACCTATTTTGAATTTCACTGATTTCAGAGAACAAACTGAGCACAATTTTGACCATATTGTAGTCTTTGACTGGGTGTTAGTTAAATCATTGATGGGTTCTAACTGTTTTGTATCACCGGCGCCCAAAATGATTTTATGGTCTTGTGTTTTTCAGTAAAGTTAAAAAATTAAAAGATTGGTCATATAGATTTCATCAAAGAAAATGACGTCAAAATTGCTATGATCAAACTCTGGTAGTTCATCCTGCTTATGAACTGGAAATCTTAAAAATGTTATGGGTTGTTGCGTCACCTTCTATTTTTTGACTTAACCAGTTATAAGGCTCTGCAAACAAAATTTGTTTATGCACCTTTTAAGAATACTGACATGTGTAACTCGATCCAGAAAATTTTGATCTGATCATGCAGGGGTTTTGTTTTTCAACTTGCTTACATATTCCGGGGTTGTCCCATTCATCTACCACCTCTGTTGGTTCATTTTCTAGTTTTGGAATTTCAATTAAGTCATTATATCAAAATATGTACTTATTGGTTGGAAATTGGTTGATTTGTTTGTCAGTCTCCGCTTGCCTATGCCTTCAGCAAAGTTCAATATTCCAGTCTGATATGATTTTATAAAATGATTTGGTTCACCCATCACTCTAGTCAAACCGTCTGCATGGATCCTGAAGGCATCACTCTCCACTGAATAGACCTTAATATCATTTTCTGAAAAAATGATTACGCTGCATTCATTGAAAAGTTATGATATTGAAGAAGCAGCTCTTTCATATCTCTAGGCCCATTGAAAAATTCATTTCGACTGGTTGTGTTTAAGATGTAATAGGTACTGCGTGTTTGTTTCTTCTTCTTTTTTCTTTTTCTTGTTGTATGGCACAAACCCTTCCTCCAAACTCCCTCTGGTAATGGCAAGCTTCCCTCAAAGTCTGAAACTGTAACTTCTGTGCGGTGTTGTGATATTTCCTATTTTCTTTTTGTCATCTTTAGTAAGATCGGTTTCCCATAGTTCATTAACAATCTGGTCATAATTGACCTAATGAATGAATGAATGAATGAACGAATGAATGAATGAAGGAGTTTTGTAACAAAATATTTTCGTTGTTTGCTTCCAATAGTTTTCTTAAACACTTTCCATATATTAAGTTATACTTCTTATTGAAAAACATGTGATGCCTTCACTTCCACCGTATACAATGTAAAACTAGATATTTTGCTAATGTCAATGTCATCCCTGTAATGTTCCAACTATCAAAACTCATAAAAACCGGTATGATTTTAGTCTGTGTAAATGCCCATGTAAAGGCTTTAGTCCTGTCAATCTCTATCAGTTTTGTTGTATCAGTTTTTTACTCAAAAATAAACTGATGGAACTATAGTCCTACAATGTTTTTATCAAAATAACCTGATGGGACTATAGTCGTGTCATACTTTGATATATTTGTGTCATGTCTTATTGCATGATGACCCTTGAGATGCTGACTGCATGTTGGTTTCAGGAAAGTACGTGTACAAACGCTTTGTACGCGTACATGGCTCAAAACAACAAAACAAAAAAACAAGATTGAGCACAACTCTTGTCAGGAATCTTGGCTTGATGCAGCCAATGCACATTACGCAAGTTGGATGACCTGGGTCTCAAAAAAGGACACACCCCAAGCCAAGATTCATTTGTAAGCGTACTGTACGCGTACAATGGTCCAACCAAGAAACCAAGAACCAAGATTGCGCACAGCTCTTGTCAGGGATCTTGGTTTGACAGTCAATGGGTCTCAAAGGACACACCCCAAACCAAGATTCATTTTCATAGGTCTGTGCAATCTTGGTTCTTGGTTTCTTGGTTTGACCATTGTATGCGTACAGTGCGCGTACTCCCCTGCAACCAATGATGTGCAGTGAGCATCACAACAGTTAGCGTACAGTAAACATTGACCATTGTACGCGTACAGTACGCGTACTTCCCTGCAACCAATGATGTGCAGTGAGCATCTCAACAGTTAGCGTGCAATAAGACATGTGTATATATATATATTTACATGGTACTCCCTTTCAAAAAATTGATGGATGAGCATCCACAACCGTGAAACAAATAGAAATGGTAGATCTTTGGGTGGGTATCATTTATATATATATATACCCTATAAGTCCAAGCACTAGTTTTATAATAGTCGTTGTGACAACCACCATTCCCGAATCATCGGCATCAAGACAACAACCTCCAATCCCAGATCAGTCTCGGGCGTGCTTTCCTGACTCCACTCCAACAGGCTCTTACTTTCGTTTTCGCGTTTTCGCCGTTTTCGCGTTTTCGCGTTTTTTTGCCGTTTTCGCCGTTTTCGCGTTTTCGCGGTTTTGCCTGCCCCTGCATCACCGGGGGCCGAGACACACGTTTCGTATGCACAGGAGGACCTTTGGACCACCTTTTTCCTCGCGGGTCTCCGGCGAGGAGACGTCTGGGATGCCGGGCCGATTCGCCGGATGGGAGGCGAAGGGAGGCTAAATGATGGGAGGCTTCTGAATGGCTAGTTAAGGATGTTCCATGTCATTGTGAAGGCTTTCTTCCACTTACAATGTTGTTGGGGTAGTGCAGTTTGTCGGGTTTTTCTTGAAGTGCAACCGGGTTGCATCGACTCCCTCCACGATAAAACCGAGGTCACGGTGAAGACTGGTGCGACGTACGATGGCTCTTTCATGTGCGAGTGGTTTGGCAAGGGCATCCCCTTGGGAAGTTGTCCGATCTTTGCCAAGCATGAGAAGAAGCTGGAGCTTTTGTGCAATGCCGGCTACGATATGCGCCTTGGCAGTGAGAAATACTTAGCACTGAAGGGTGGATTGGAAATTGACACGGACAGCTGGAGCATGCTGGAGCAAAGTTGTAGGTATCATGATGTATCGATCTACAGTATCTAGATTATTAACATGACAGGAGCCTTTTTGCCTTCTTTGTCTACATATCAGGTCTTTTCCGCTTTTCTTTTTTTCCCGGAATTGCCGGGTGCGCCTGGCGAGATCTCAGGACTGCCAGGAGTGACCATGGTCTCAATGCGATGTTCTTTGCGGGTTTCTTCGTGGACGAGGATGAAGTGGCATCTCGCTTGGTGGCCAAGGTGAAGGAGTATGGCCTGAAGTTCACGGATGACATGACCGACTACAGGGACCCACATCGAAACATCCAGGCACCGCGCTTTCGGCACCGTTTCACCATACCACCCGAGGGTACCAACAAAAATCCATGGAAGGACAGAGGGAAGGCCACTGGGAAGGGAAAAACATGTTGAAAAACACATTGAACAAGGGGTTCGGTTTTAAAGCCATGCACACGAAGAAACCGATCAAGTTCGCTTGCTGATCCTGCTGTCCACTTGAACAAATCTCCACGAAAGTGGCTGCGGCCGCCAACCCAATGGGCTTCCGAGTTGGGCTGGTCAGGCATTGGGCTGCTGAGGGGTTGATTGGTTGATTGGTTCGCCTCAAATGGTCAACCCTGGAAGTAGAACAAACAGGCTGTAACAGGCTGCAACAGATGCAGGAACTAGCTGCATGGGTAGTTTTGCAGGTCCATCTGGGTCCATTCAGTGCAATTGTCCTTCCCTTCTCTTTACAATGTTTTCGGAGTAGATGGCGCAACCCCCAAGATGTTTTTGAGATGGGGGTCCATATAAACCACCGACATTGGGGTTTGTGCCATATCTACTCTGAAACCACTAGTTAGATGGTTCTATGGCCCTATGGACTACCCCTCCCCGGTGCCTCGATGTCTTCCCTCTCCCCTGGTGCCGCCAGAAAATCCCCTGGCATTCGTCGCATCCTCCGCTCTTGCTGGACCAGCGCTGGCGCTTGGTTCCGCTGTATTCCAGCAAACAAGTGCTGCAAATGCAGATCGAGCAAGGCGCGCACCGCCGGTGGGGACCGGACGGAGCCGCGGATGGAGCTCGTATGCCTCGTAGGATGGGACCGTCGGGATGGGTCAACCTGGTAGGTCCAACGGCGGTAGGTCCGTGCCATGACCCACTGGGTCGACTTCACGACCCTTTGGGACTCTCAACTCGCCCACGGCGCCGTTCGGCAGGCTGCTCCTGGAAGTCCTGTGCGGATAAGGCCGTTCCAAAGGGGACCATTTTCCCTTGGTTCATCCAGGCCATGATGCACCACCCTTCGACCATGATTGGCGATGCATTCATGTGGCATGTGTGGATGGACATTGGCCTTGAGCCCTCCTACGTGCCTTGGAAGTGTTTGGTAGCGATTATATAAACATGTTTAAACTCGCATTTCGTGCGAGTCTGGTCATGTTATTTTTTGTGTTTTCGCACTTCACTTCAACGGTTTGGTTTTGGAGCAAGAAGTGCATTGCCTAAAAAAGGGGGCGATAGAGTTTTTGAGCACGATGTGTGACAGAAGCACAAAAGTGACACAAGTGTGTTGCCCGCATCAGTCTTGGCTTCAGGGATTTACACCCATGGCAATGTTGGGGACGCCCACAGCAATCTTCTGGTGCTGTATCATGGGAGCGCAATGGAATACTTCCATGTGGTTCGAGATCTTCAACTCTTATGCCAAATGGTACGAAACACCTTTGAATGACACGAAGCCAAAGTGGCTGCTTGGCGAGAATGCGTCGAATCGATAGTTTTTTTGGAAGGAATGAGGATGAGCTATATACATGAGCAGAAGATGTCCGGCTATAATTTTTGCTATGATTTGTGCCCTTGTTTTTGCAATCGCATCCAATCCAGGTTTAAGGAGTGTATGACGGTCGTCGGCCTTCTGCCAGCCCTCACCACCGTTTTCAACAATGCCCGCACAGATTGGCTGCAAGGGCGCATGGATGCCGGGCTGAGAGTTCATCGGTCGAGGGTGCGACCGACTGTGACGTCTTATTTTTTTCCTCCCTATCCCCTTCATTTTTTCGTTTGTCATAAAATGGGTTATATATATCCTCAGTGATCAAAGGATGGGTTGCTTCATTAGCAATTGGACCTCCAATTCAGGATGTCACATGGGTCTAAAGAGAGACAGAGGTCGCGTTTGATCTCGCAAATGTCGAGGGGGGAGTCCAATCTGGGGATCATGGGATTGGTGATCACCTATAACCACACTGGTTGTGAGAGTCATAGATGACTGCCGAGACTCCAATTGGAAGACGACCTCCTCGTGGAACCCGAAACGGACCATGTCCTCCAAGACTCGCCCGAGACGGCGGGGACGCGACGTCTCGGGGCTCCTGTTGGCGAAGCCCAGGATCAGTACCAGCGCCAGCTGGCGGAGCAGAAGAAGAGGTGCGGTCCGCCCAAGGACCCGTCGCATCAAAGGTTCGATTTCGATCGACTCTTTTAATGTGTGCCACCTGTGGAAAGAAAAGATGGGGCTGGGTCTCTTCAATGCCGAATGGGGGAAGTCCAAGAGCTAGGTCTGAATCGTGGCCCCCGAACAGCCAACTGGTCGAAGTGGACCCACAGAACTGCTTCGAATTGCAGCGAATTTGACCTTTGGTTGAGTGAACCCGAAGCCTGGACGCCTGTGTGGTGGCTCTGATCTCCTGGTCTGTTCAACTCGAGACCGGGTTCCGTTGCATCCCTAGTAGGTGTTGATGCTTCCCGCACCGGTGGGGGGTCCTGGGTGGGTCCTCACCGGGGACAACGGATCGACCCCCTGAGCCTGGGTCTATATTGAGAAGGATGTTTGGAAGGGAAGGCCCTTGTTTGGTGACCCATACCCCACGAGTTGCTCCCCAAGGCGCTTCTTTGAGGACGAAGACAAGAAGTATCAGATGTTGCAGGAAGCTCCAAGAGCTATGAACTGACGGGACCAAAGCAATTTCTCCTCTCTCATAGAACCTCCTAATGGGCGGTTTGGTCTCGCTCAAACCCCCAAAACGCCTGGATCTCGCCGAACTCTCGGCCAGGTAACCGGAGGAGCCCGAGCTGCTCACAATTGACCGGGCCGTTCGGCACTCGCTGTAGTTGAGTGTCAGCCAGGAATTCTGGCGAGGAGGACCGGGGGGTGTGGGGCTTGAGAAGGCAAATCCCACCCCTCCTTGCTTTGCTGGATGCAGCTGCTGTAGGGGAACATGGATGCCTATATATTCGTTCTCTTTTCTTTTTCTTCAACCCAACAGTATTTCGTCGCTACAGTGAGGACTAGGCGATTTTAGACCAAACCAGTCATTCTTTGCTTGAACACGAATCAACATGGATGGTGAGGGGTGCTCCAAACATTCTGTCGAGGGGCGGATCATCGCTCCTTCGCAGGTCAAGTCTCTACTAGTCACTAGTCAGATTTTGCACTGTCAAGCCCTCTACAACTGTTTGCGGGGCGGAAGTCTTTGTTGCATCGAGCCGAAACCCCTGAGGGAGGGCGGAAGTGCTTGGTTGAGAGCAGCTCCTCATTTTTTTGGGCAGCGAATCAGACCAGGTGTGTGGAGCTGTGGAGCCAAACAACGCGTTGTTGGAGCCAAACCAACCCTCGAACAAACACACCGACCGGCCTGACGGGCCAAGAGGATGTCCAGACCCTTCAGATGACCTGGACCGATGTGCATCCCTGTTCTCACATAATTCGTTTGAGCGCACGGAAGCAAACAGATCAATGGAAAAAAACAGGCACAGAGAGTGCCGTTTTCTCGCACGCGCGCAGCTTTTTTGATCAGGCTGCCTCTTCTTCCAAGTCTGTGAGGTCCGGGTATAGAACCAGAAAGTCACTGGAACAAGGAGTGGGGTTTCCCGTCGTCCAGACTGGTCACCGTTTGACGATTCGACTGAGCTTTCTTGGGGTCCTGCCTGCCAACCCGTCAAATGGACCACCGTTCCGGTGTCCAGTCCACCGTTGACCCTCGTTGACCGTGACGGGACTACCACCCTGTACGTAGGTGACCGTGGCTCAGTTTGCAATGTATATATATATATACTGTAGAGTTATGCGTAAGATCATGCAAGATCCGATTTCAAGATTTCACTGGTCATCACCAGGATTCTATGATATCATATGATGTTGGCGATTACACCCCTTGGCAGCCTAGAAAATCGTCCGACCTGAATCCTGGGCACCGAAGCAGTCGTTTTGTCGGGCCCTGGTCGAGCAACATCTGAGCAGCAGCCATCCTTTGATGCGGAAGAAGAAGGTGGCCCACTGCGCCTGGTTTCAGCGGGCCTGATTTTTGCGTACAGACCGCCGTTTTGCTCGCTTGCCAGACAGCAAAGGGGAGGAAGAAAGGGAGACAGCCGAGTCAACAAGAGTCAAAAGATGGGGTTCATGATGGCTCATGCTAACAACCTCAAGAGGGAATGCAGTTAATGCCCAAACCCAGGTTGTTTCTCAGAAAAGGGAGACTTTCAGTCTATACCACTAGCGAATACTTTCATGTCCAAATGAGGGGCTCTACAAAAGGCATGCGTTGCGGTCTGTAGATTTGCTTGTGGTCGTTTCTTCTTTCTGAGAACTTTATCCATAAGTTCGCTCAACATACACTCCCTAGAATAATCATGATTGCTTGGAAAACGGCTATGCTATCCACGTAAATGATGATTTCAAGTGTAACCTGGCAAAAATTGAGGAGGAGACTGCGGACGTGAATTTGAGGACCTGTTTGTCGACCTTTTCCACCCCATGTCATTCCGACGAGGCTTTAGGCCAAACCGTCGAATTCGATTAGCAGTGCATTGCTGAGGTTTGCACAGGAACGAAGGAACGGATGGGGGCGTCCTTGGGGCAGAGAGGTTGAAATCAGAACGGTCGAGTTTTTTTTTTTTTCGGATTGGAATGGTGCAATCCTCCATGCAGCGACCGGACGCGCAGCAACAAGAGAACTGTTGCGTCGAACATGACAACTCGCTAAAAAGCGCTGCTAGGTGCAAAGTGCTGCAGTGTGGGTTGATCTGAACCTCCTGTTTGGGAGAGAGTGCATCATTGACGCTCTTCGTCCAACATACCTTGGCATGTTCAACAGTCACCCCAAGCTGAATGCCAAAGTTGTTCTGCAGCTTAATCATTTTGGTTTATGCCTGCATTCCCATTCATACTTTCAGACTTCTTCATGACCAAGTCACCAGGGACTGCGCTTGCCTCAGCGAGTGGTTGTCAGGCTCAAGCGTAGGATTGGCACCATGTAAAAGAGCACATTGGGCACCACTACCACTCAGCAGCCGAGGATCTCGCTTTCGACAGGGTGCTTTCGCAAGAAATCGTATAGAGAACCTTTGTCTTCACCCACAGGACCTCCTTGGAGGGCGCTGAAAGGGTTTGGCCTAAGGTTTGGCCAATGTGTGTGGAAACTTTTCACGCACTTGAACAGGGCCACCCTTCCCCCTCTAGTCCTTCGGAAGGCCCTTTTTACACCTCTCGTTGCTCCATGCCATGAGTTCATCCAGACGCTCCCCTCTTTGAGCTTCCACCAACCCCCCAAGCGGCGCCCCCCCGCGGAGCTTCCCACCTCTCGTCGCACCGGAGCGTCACGGCATGGGCTGCGGAGAGTCACGGGCACAGCGGCATGAGCATCCCAAGCTGCTTGGACAAGCGGAACCGCCGAAGGCACGTGGGTGGGTGGCTGGCAGATGTTCTTCTTTTTTTTTGATGTGCCAAATGGCCTCGGCAATGGATGTGTCTTCAGTGACTCGTGCTCTCCATGGTTATGTTTTTTTCACGTGAAAACGTCGTTTCACCACATTTTCGACTGCATCACAGGCGAAACCCAGATCCGAGTCTGAAGAAGGAGGGGAGAAGCTCGAGACTTGAATGCACCGAAGGTAGTGCCTATGGCAACCCTCTCTTCCTCTTGCGATTGCCGAACACTTAGTCTGTGGCCGCGGTTCACCTAAGGACCTAATTCTTAAGAAGTCAGCACCGACAGGGGTTACTTGGGTGACTTCCGAACCGGTTGGGCTCCTTCGGGCACCCTGCGCGTCAGCGCAAGATGGATTGACAAGGCATCAGGGACAAACGGTCACGGTCTATACATTCATTCCTGCGGGCGCGCGCGCAGGCGATCACATGGCACTACTTGCGCGCAGCTCTCCTGACTGCTTGTTGGAACTCTAGGTAGCCTCCACATTTTTGCCTTTGAGGCTTTGGCAAGCCACCTTTTCGTGCTTCCTTCAAGTGGTCGCCGAAGTTCTGCTGCCCACTTAAATTCCAGTCAAAAGATTGAGAAAGTTCAGAACCAGCAAGCATGGAGCAATCCCCATGACAAAGGTGTGGCAACACATGCCACTGGGGCTACGAGTTAATCTAATCTTCTTCACAAGCAAGCTCGAGCCCTCGGCGACCCTGGAATTTTGACATATCATACATAAAGACTCAAGATAAAACAATTTGGACATCACATAAAAGAACATGAACTATTCATCGTGATGTCGACCAGCCATACACACACATATTTTTTTTTGTGCACTCCTTTTCCGTGCTAGTCTGCGACCTCCTTGGGCCTAAAACACAGCGGCAAAATGCCTTGTTGCTTCTTGCCGCACTCTTTGACGAGCTGTTTGCTCGGTTCGATGCGACCTGCTTTGTGGACTCCATGTGCCATGCACAAAGTGCAATGCACTTTGGCTCCCTTCCTCCACATTTGGTGGGATCTGTGGCCAGTTCAGGAGGCTGGAGTGGGCCAGGGATCGTTCCAGCATGCTGTCAAACTGAGCTCCGTCAGCTTTCCTTTGGAGGAATTCTTCAAAAGACGTTGGCCACATCTTGCACACACAATGTAGTGCTTCTGAACCACAAATTGGTGTGGAGCCATGTTTGGCGCCAAGCCATCCACCATGCTTTGGATCAGCTGACTTTTGTCGCTCAAAGATGCTTGTCCTCCAATGATGGGTGGGCTGGTGGCCTGTGGACAAATGCCGGTGCGCCCAGCTTCAATGTCCTGTGTGCTGCTATGCATCGTGAGCCGTGCTTTGCAAAGTGTGCACTGCTGACTGATGCCCTTTGGCTGCCAATTGTGGCCATCAGGTCTGGTTTGGCCTGACAGGCTATTGTACAGCTCTCTTTTGTGTTCACGTGCTTGTGTTCTCTTCTCTTTCCCTTGCTCCCTGGCGTCGTGAAGAAAGTGAGATTTGTCTTCCAGCAGATATTTCACCCGCTGAATCGCCAAAGGAGCGATTCTCTGGTACTTCTTGTCTTGAAGGGCCAACTCTTGCTCTTGCTCTCTGGGTTGATGCGAGAGCGCGACCTCGCGGGCAGCTTTGGCCGCGTCAGCCATTCTGTTGCGCAGTGTCCACTCTCCCTTAGGGAGTTCACGCAGCTGCTTTGGATTGATGCAGAGTGCCTTGATCTGCATTCGTTGGTCATGCATGACATGTGTTTGGATGTCATGAAAGCTGTCTTTGTGTTGTCCGTGCTGCCAAGCCTGCCAGGCTCTTGTGCTTTGTGCATGCACCACCTGTCTTTGCCTGACATCCACATAGTGAGCTATCATTCGTAGCCCGTACATCCATGCTCTCTCCCATGTCTGTTTGCCGGGCAATATGGCCACTACTGCTCCTTGACGATACAGTTGGCCGCCTATCTGTGTGTGGTGCACGATTGCCACAGCAAAATGCTTGAGGCGTGCGTCTGTTGATGTGCTGGCCACTGCAATGGTGACCACATCTGGATGATGAATGCGTGCCTCATCATGAGTGGTCCAGGTGCCCCAGGCCTGGACTGAAGGACCTCCAGTGGATTGCTCAAGCTTAGGCATTTGCAAAAGCCCTTGTGCCCAGAACTCAAGGTTGAGTCCGTGCCCCAGCTCAAACTGGTCATCTGGATGGAGGGCTGGAAAAGCTCGTTGTGTGCGCTTGCATAACCACATCAGGTGTACTGCTGTGGCGGGCTGGTTGCAGTGAGGGCATGTCAAAAACTTGCCTTCTTGGCTGTCACTGTATTTGGTGAACAGTGCACCCTGATGCCAGGTCTGTAAGGCCAAGGCGTTTTGTTTGTTGAGTGTCCTTGCCATGCGCTTCCACGGCTGCCAGTCTAAAGGCTGTTGAATGTCTTGCAACATGCTCCTCTTGTTGATGCGTTGCAGCCTGTCACTCTGCTCTGCACGCTTGAGTTCATCACGGATGGTCAGCCAGTGATCTGACAGGGTGATCTTGAATTCTTCTTCACCATTGCACGCTGGCTTTGTGCATTCGTGAAATTGCTCATGTGCCCATCCTCGTTCACGAAGGTAACATTGCAAGGCAGCAACTGGTCCGCGTGCTACTTGCCAGGGATAAGTGGCCTGGTCAAGGCGTTCTCGATGACTGTTCCAGGCTTTCTCAAGATCTCTTCGGAGACTCTCAGGCCACCGTCCAGCAAAATGCTGAAAAGTTTTCACCTGCTCCATGAAGGCACCATAATCTGGATCTTGGTGCTGTTTGTGCATCTCGAAAATGATGTCAGTATTTCCGGTCTTCTGCAAACCAAGTTGGCGAGCTAGTGCTGCTTTGTGCCGTGCTCGAACCTGTGGTGCCAGGCCCATGGCCTGGTGGCCCCACGAAATGCCTGCAACAATGCTGCCCTTGTACAGACGTAGTCTGATGGCTCTCTGTGGTATTTTGAGACTCTGCAGCTTCTTGGTTTTTCGACCTGCTTTCCTTCGTCTTGCTTTCATTGTGGCTATGCGACGAGGACGACCAGCGGTGCAGTCTACTCCGAGATCTCTCATCACGTCGTGCACTGTTGGCCCTTGTTGGGGCAACTGTTCTAAAAGAAGCTTTTTGGCCG